ATCAACATATAAATCTTCAAGTTCATCTTCATCCCAAGATGCTTCCATCATAATAGTATTGATGCTTGTTTTATATTCAAAAAATTTCCAACTGGCAACAGGCTCTTGTACTTTTAATCTGAAAAAAAATATACTAACAACTTGCCTAACAATTTCATCAATTATGCTTTCAATTTCTGACAACTTTTCTGGATTTGTAATTGTACGATAACAATTCATTAAATCTAAAATATCTTTTTGTAATGTTGCAATCAATGGATGTTTTTTGTCTTCTTTGCCTACAGCAATATTGGAAAATCCACGATTTCCAAGAACACCATAAATTTGTTGACGTAATTTTGTTGAAGTAGCTTTGCTAACTTCTTCATCTCCAGTGCGATATTTTGAAATTGAATCTGTCAACTTTGAGAGTTGCTCTGTTGTCTTAACCATTTTCACTTCCAAACTTTGTTGTTTCTCATCATCTTGTTCATCATCTTGTTTGTTGCCTTTATCATTATTAAAGTAATTTTGGGTTTTTTCAATGATGGTTTCAATCACATGACGTTCTAACACACCAGAAATCAGATTTTTACTATTATGTATCTTACTACCAGCAATTGAACAGCCAAATTTTCTCAAGAGCTTTTTTACCTCTGATTCATTAATTTTAATACCTTTTTTCAGCCCACAAAATTTATCTAAATTTTTATGTAAATTGCCAATATCTTTTGATAATTGACCAGCACTATTGGAATCTTGACTTCCTAGTTGAAAACTTGTTGCATCGCCCAAAGCTGATTGATATTTAATAGCTTCTTCCTTTAAGTTATTATTATTTTTTGTCAAGTCATCAATTTTTTTATCTTTTAAATTTAATAATTCCTCTAATTTTTGACAAGTTATTTGAAGTTCTTTAGGATTTAAAAGGTTCAACATAATTCCCCCCACAAGTGTGCTCCCAAATGATTTTTGACTTTTTCCTTTGTTTCTGATTTCCAATTCATTGTTTTTACTTTTCAACAGATTGTTGTTACTTTCTAATTCATCGTTTTTACTTTTCAACAGATTGTTGTTACTTTCTAATTCATCCTTTATAGTTTTCAATTTCTTGCTGTTTTTTCTCAATTTTTTGTTTCTCATTTCCAATCCTTCATTTTTACTTTCCAACTCCATGAATTTTTCTTCTGTTTCATTGTTTATGTTTTCCAATTCAATGATTTTACTTTCTAATTTTTTAGTTTTACTTTTCAATTCATTGATTATACTTTCCAATTCATTGTTTTTGCTTCCAAATTCATTGATTATACTGATTTTACTTTCTAATTCATAGTTTTTATTTTTCAATTCATTTTCCAACTCAATGATTTTATTTCCCAATTCATTGTTTTTATTTGCCAACTCAATGAATTTATTTTCCAATTCATTGTTTTTATTTGCCAACTCAATGAATTTATTTTCCAATTCATTGTTTTTACTTTCTTCCATTACTACATCTATCGTATCCGCCACCATCTGTACATCCTCCATACCTGTACTCTCACTCTCCATGTGTTTTTTTAAATTATCAAAACAGCTTTACTAATTATATGTAATATTCTCCAAATTTAAGATGATCTGTTTGCTTTTGTGACTTGTTTATCTGCGAATTGTTCTAAATAATAAATAAATATTTGCTGAATTCATAAAGAGTAGTTGCTGAGTTTCTGATAGAGGTTTTGCTGGTGTTGTGAGAGATGTTTCTAATATTATGATTGCTGTATGGATTGTTTTAAGCGTTGTTTCGGTTCTTAAAGAATTTTTATCGTTGTTTTAAAAATTCTTGGAATGCTTGTATAGTTTGT